CTCCTTTGTGACTGCAATACACTTTTTAAAATCCAAATGCCCCTTGTGGTGAGAAGGTTAATTAGAGCCTATCTCAGGGGGGGGAGGAGAAAAAAAAAAAACTTCCCTTGAAGTGGGGCTACCCCCCAACAAGCATTGCTTGTTTATATCTAGGGGAACTTACTTACCTGATTCCAGCTGCCCTTGCGGTCAGTGCATTCCTCGTCTCCCCTTCTCTCTGGCTTGTGGACTGTCCCTCTGTGTCCTCACTTATAAAGCAAGGTGATGGGGCCAGCAATTCTTTGGGTTTTTTTTTTAACCTAGGCACAAAACGAGCACTTAACCCTTTTAGCCCCACTGCAAGGATAAATACAAATTCCTGGAGTTCTCCTTTAAGAAAAGTTTTGCCCAGAGTTCTTCTATAACCCTTGCAGTGCAGGCATAACCCCATAAGGTTAGTTTGTTTTCCTGGAGCTTTCAGCAGATATTAGTCATAGAGTCGTTGCCCATACTGACACTGGGCATCTAAACTTCAAAAAAAAAACTCTGGTCACAAAAGGGTTAACAGGAAGATCGGAGATGAAAACAATTTTCAGCAAATGAGACAAACATAGAAGTGTCCTTTTAAATCAGACATACGTCACTTACCGCACGATATCCTCACTGACACTCAGCCCAAAACGACTTTCCAGCTCGCCGACACACCAGCTTAACAGATTGTCAGCCATGCCCTGCCTCTCTGTTACACAGGATGTGTGCACTGCGCTTGTCTACTAAACGGTGTAGGAGCGGTTACGGAAATAGCCGGGCGGCTAATGTAACACACATCGACGGGGGAACAGAATTCGACACAACACCGGCTTCAGTGACAGCACACATTTGCGAGCAGCTTGATGACGTGTGAGTCATGTGACCGGAACTAATCCATGCATGTGGCGGCGCAGCGATGATGAGTGGGGGGAACGTTGATGGGGGATCCCGTTTGAAGAATTAATGGTGGCTAAAAATAGTAAACAAGCATGTTCAAATAAGTCACATATGAATGTTTGTGTGGACAGCGGAACATACTAATCAGCATATTGGGATGATGAAATGATTGGCTGCAATACTCAGCACAATCACTAGGTGTCAGTAAACTTTTTGCACCCTTACATGGAAATTAACATGTTGTATAACAAAAGATGTTGTTCTTTTCTCCAGTGCTTGATACTAAGTAGCAAAACATAGGTGCAAATGTTTAAAGTGACATTAAAGTCAATAGCCCCCCCCCAATGTTAGTGTAAGCATAGACTTACCTCATGTCTCTCGTCTCCCGGACGAACATCTGAACAGCGCATGCGCCAGCCCCAAAATCTTTTGCGGCCGCCCCGAGAAATTTTCAGATGTTCGGACGGGAGCGCGCGTCAGAGATACAGGTAAGTATTAACCCTTTGAAAAAGTTTTTTCATTTTTTTAATCTACTTGCTGGTAGTAGATATATGCAAAAACTGCCGAGGGTTTAATAACCCTTTTATTATTTACTTACTAAAATATACAAAGTTGTATAATGGAATTCAGCAGTAAATTACATATTTACATTACATTAAATAATAGAAAAATAAGTTAATACATTTGTAAGACTAGATAATTATATCAATGTTTTTTGTATGGGGATTGTTATTATTATTATTATTACATAGTATTTATATAGCGCCAACAGTTTGCGCAGCGCTTTACAATGGAAGGAAGACGTTACAATTACAATACAATTCAAGACAAGATGGTAAGGAGGGCCCTGCCCCTGAGGGCTTACAATCTAAAAGAGGAGGGGGAAATGATACATGAGGAGGTAGCTGTGAGGGGATGAATTATTTGAGAATGTGATGGTTCAGTGGTTAGGTTGAGGTGGGATAGGCTTATTATGGGTGCAATATTATGATTACCCATGATAAACAGCATATTTCCTGTTAAGACTATGGTTATAATTATTTTCCTATGGGGATTATGGGTGGAATATCATGATTACACTGTAATGGATGTGGTTAAGTGACTATGATAAAAATGC